AAACTAACGTCATCTAACTGTGAGCCACAGGAACTGAGTTTACCACCTAATACTAAGGCTGAATTATTAATGCCGCGAAATTGATTTGGTAAATTTGCATTCCTTTCGCTATAATTCCGCACAAACCTCTCTTTAATAAAACTTATCGAGCTATCTGTATCTTTAGGTTACATCGGCCCTCCGAATCATGAAGATGATAACTCAAATTTTCCAAAAAATTCGAATCGTTATCGAAAACACTGTTTATATTGTTTCTATCCGGGATTGAATCCGTTCCCCGACTATCTCTATTTCTACATTCTCTCGCTTTATGCCCTACCTGTGAATATGTAAAACACGCTCCCGCTTCGCATTTTGAGTATTTACATTGAGCGGCAATGTGTTCCATAGCATTATAACTGTAACATTTCGTCGGATTTCTATTCCCGGCATCATTTCTGACTCGCTTTGTGACTATCGCCTCCATTTCTGGCCGTCGATAGTTTCTCACCCTTACGTGAAGTTCGCGGGTCTACGCTTAGGCTGATGTCTTCCATCGCCCTCAGCATCATCTCTTTATTTGTGAACCGCTGCATCGTTGCATCTTGTCGGATTGACTGGACAGGGATTTCTCCAATTATATTGTCCATTATCTCTTCCTCATCAATTGGGACTCTGTTGGCCATGATAATCTTCTGATAAAAATATTCGGTGAATGTCTCGCCGGTTTGCCACGCTCGGCTCTCGAATTCTCTTCTCAGTAACAATCGTTTCTCTCTTTGACCAAACATTGTCTTCATCCGGCACAACAGCTGATCCACAGACACGGTCAGATGCTCCAGCACCAACCGAAACCATGCTGCAACATTGCCCGACAATCTCTATACTAGCAATAACTTCAGAGAATTATCGTTTAGTTGGTATAATTGCTGCACCAATCTCAGCTGTTCTTCCCACACGCGGTAGGACATCCTTTGACCGTCGAATTCCGGAAGCATATCCTTCAATGCTGTCACGTTAGTCACCCGCGCAAGTCGGTCGATCCTCAACGGTTCGGGGATCATCGAAGGTCGCTAGTATAGATAGTAGAATAAACACATTTCAATAATCAGGGTTAAGTAAGTTAACTTTTTTTTATCTAAGTTAAAGTTAATGGCTTTGAAAATTTAACTTAGTTAAGATAAAGTTAACTCATAACGAAATTAATTAAATTAAAAGTTTAGTTAATAAAAAAAATAATTAAAAAGTTAAAAGTTAAATTTGTTTCATTTCATGACTTCAGGGTTTCAGTTTTACAAATAATGGAAAAAACAAATATAGACCTTATTTGGAAACCTGTTTCATTTACAGATACTTATTAAATTTAAGTAATAAATTTTTTTAGAAATTTTTATCGGACATTTTTCCTCGAAGATTGTCGAAAATGAACCCTTCTACACTGAACAGCTTTTCGACGTTTCGCGACACCTTTATGGCATGGTTAATTGCAAGATAATCGAACTAAAAGTTAATAGTTACCGATAAAATGTAACTAAGTTAAAGGTTAACAGTGTAAAAATGTAACCAAGTTAAGTTATAAAGCTATTTAACTTTTTAACTAATTACTTTTTAACTCATGACGTACCATTTCTTATGCTGTTAGAAAAGAACTACCTAACCCTGTCAATAATCAATAAAAGAGATGATATTAATGTAAAGAGATGATATTAATGTTAAACTAAATTATGATATATTTCGATTTGAATATAAGATATACCACTACATATTAGGGCTTTGTTTCGATATTCACTATTAGTATTGAAAATCTATAGTATGTATACGTAACACAAGATTGTCAGATGTGGTGCAATTGCGCCAATGTGGCTCTTTGACTCAGGTAGAACAGATAGTCAAAATAATGTCAATCTGACATCATTTTGATCAAATTTACGTCATTTTTTGTTGAAAATGACGTCAGAATGATATTATGTTGACTATCTATTCTATCTGGGATTAGTCGATTATACTAAAATTGGCTGTGTTACGAATGTATTGCTAAACTCTACAGTTCATGTTATATATAATATAGATTTTCAGTATTGGGGCCTTATTCTGCAATCACTTACCGATCCGACAATTGTCGATAAGTGGTTACGGAATAGGGACCCTGGCATAAAACTTAAAACGCAGCCATTGTGTAAATACTCACTTAAAACAAAAAAGCACAATACTTTCAAAATGAATAAGGAACTATAATAACTCATTTTTTAATCATTATTATATCATTATTATCCTCACTTTGATGTCAAATAGAAGACATTTTGATATTATTGTGATTTTCTGTTTTAGTACACAATTTCACTTTAAAAACAAATATCCAGAGTGCATTCAGAAATGTCCTGGGAATGTCCTATGGACGTTTTGTGTCCTCATGATGTACCATTTCTTATGCTGTTAGAAAAGAATCACTATAAAATCATTCCAAAGTCAAGAATTCATCACATATTCATCAAAAAAACTACATTAAATGACATCATGATGATATTTTTTTAAATGATTTTCATGTGATGTCATAGTGATATTTTTATGAGTTTGTGTTCTACTTGGGCAGTCGCTTACACCTTTTGACTCTCCTTCGCCGTAACTCAGCTCGATCACAAAAGCCTAACACTTCTCGCTTTGTCCTCTATTTATATCTTTATATTTGGGAACCCGTTTTGGTTCGGTTAATCTCGGATAACGTTCGATTTTTTTTCTAATCGTCTCATGCTTTTGCCTCGTGATCGCTTACAAAGCTTCAATTCGTTGGCTCCTGGTCGATGTGTAAACGGGTCGATGTGCAATCGGGTCCTATTGCAACGCTATATGTCCGAACGCTACTGTGTGCAATTGGGTCCGTACGCAACCGGGTCGGTATACAAACGGATCCGTGTGCAATTGTGTCCGTGTCCTATTGCAACGCTATGTGTTTGAACGCTACAGTATGCAATTGAGTCCGTGTGAAAACAGATCATTGTGCAATCGGGTTGGGGTGCAAACGGATTAGTTTGCAATTGTATCGAATCTGTGTCATATTGCAAAGTTATGTGATCGATTATTATTGTGTCCGATCGCGCGCATGTGCAATCGGGTCCGTATGCATTTGGGTTCGTGTCTTATTGCAACGCTACGTAATCAATCATTATATTGTGTTCGATCGTGT